CCGGCAGTGTTTGAGATGATCCCAAAGTTGTGCTCTGGATGAGAAGCGTTGCACGCAGTTGGTACACCAGAGTGGGCAGCCGGCGGTGAAGTTGGGGCCGCGGGGTCGGTGTTGGGGGCTCTGAGGGAAGGTCGGCTGGAATGGCGCAGCTCCAGGGTTGAGAGTTGAAGAGGCAGCCAGATGGCGCCAATCAGGTGGCAACTGCGTCTGCAGGTTGGACTGCGAGGAGCATTCAGTGGACGTGGACGGTTCAGGCGCTGCGGCACGAGGAGGTGGCTCGCAAAGGAATGGAGTAGCGTGTCCAGCAGTAGGAGATGAGCAGTTGACAGCAAGGGCGGTGGTGGTTGGTGCATCAGCAGCAGGATGCAGGATGGAGCTCGTGTGGTTGTCGCTGCATTGGTTGAAGGATGGGTTGGAGGCGCCGGGAGCGATGGTGCTGGCGGAGAGAGCGGCAGGGGCTGACGGTGGTGGCAAGTTCGTGGTGGGAGCTGGCAGCGAGCCCGGCTGACTCCCGCCCAGAGCTGCCAAACCTGCGGCTTGTTGAACTGGCGTTTGTGGCGTGTGCGCACGCCATGCGGCGGGCATGTCGGCCGGGACTGCGGGGCCGACGGCAGCGGAGGGAGTCTCTGGGGATGGCTCAGAAGAAGGCTGGGCAGGCCCACTGTCGGCTGGTTGCTCGGGCGAGGTCATCGCGCGCATGCCAGGCCGCGCGCACGCGCAAAGTACGGCCGTCCCATGTTACTGATGACCAGCATTACTTATGACGCGCAAGACAAAGGGTGGCTCAGGGCTCTGCCCGCAAGGCGCCCGCGTCGCCGACGCGGTACCATTGACTAATCCCGGCATTCACACCCACACGACCAAATAAAATCCATTGTCGGGACTGCGAGTCGGCATCACCTGCGTCCACAGACTCGTCGCTGCTATCGAGAGTCGACAGTCCGAGCGGCACACTCCCTGTGGACATGCTTGCGGTCCTCCCGCTGCTCGTCTCGACTTCCATCCGAGGCGGCTGCGTCGTCGTCACTGGAGCGAGCCGCGGTCTCGGCGTCGGCATCGCGAGGGCGTTTGCGACTGAGGGCGCGGCGACGGTGTGCTTGGTGGCGAGGTCCGAGGCGGGGCTGCAGAGCGTGTGCAGGGGGCTCGCTGCAGAGCATCCAAACGTCTGCTTCCATCCGATCGCGGCCGA